ATCACTTGTCTTTCAGTTTCAGGGAACAGAATTTGCTTTTGAAGTTTCTTTCAAAGTAAATGCACTTTTGCACCTATTTATTTAGTTGCAAAGTAATCAAGGTTTGTTTGTGTGGGAATATTGGCTTTTGTTTCTCCAGGGCTATCATTAGTTCAGGCTCTATGACCTTCTGGATTTTCCAGGATTGTACTAAATCCCAAAGGAAGTACCAGCCCTTCATGGTAGGCCAAGTCAGGAAACAGACACCGCAGGGATTCCAGAAATGCTACTTTATTGTTCTAATAACAGAATCTTGAAAGCCGGGCAGAGTTTCTTGGTGCCCATCTTATGCCAACAGAATCAAGGTGGGGTTATTTTGTGTTTCTTCTTCATGCTTTCCATTTTCCCAGGACCGAGTTGCTATTTTACTTCCCTTAATGGATCTTCCCTTCCAAGGTCATTTCTACCTTCCTTTACAGGGAACTATTTGACAGAATTTCTTCCCCTGAGCTTTTTCCAGTCTGAGAAAAATAGAAAATCAATTTGAGGTATGGTGGAAGAATTTCTCTTCTGCCTGGAGAAACTTTGAAAAAAATTGATGCCCAGTTTCTCTCCCTTTGAATTTAGGGGAGAATTTCAAAAGGTCATTTCTGCCAAAAGCAACTTCCCCTATAGAAGATCAAGGAGATAATAGTGCAAAGGGGAGCAAGGATAGGGAAACGTTGTGTTTCAGTTATTCAGATTTAATTAAAATAGGGTTGGCCTTGGTTAAGCTAAGTGGGGTTGGACTTGGTTAGTACTTGGATGGGAGACCACAAGGAAAGCTAGACTAATAACAGGAGGAAGAGTAGCAGCAGCAGCTTGACTTTGAAGGAGAAAAATCTCTCCTTCAGGAAAACTAGGAAGGAGAAGCAGACGTATGGATGCTTAGGGAAGTGTCAATAGGCCCCAAGCTGGAGACACCACTCTTATTTTCTGATACTTATCAATTGCACTGTTTAAGGAAGTTTGTCAAAAACCATCATTTTACCAAGGAGACATTTGGGGAAGATATAGGTCGGATGTCACCCAGTGCCCTTCACAGTTGTTTTTGCAAGATGTTAAATCTCACTGACACACTTGCTCCAAGGGCATGTAATCCATTTATAAACATCCTGCTTGAAATACACCCCCACAATTACTTTCAACTCACTGGCGGGCCGTGAACCTTGAGGCACATAAACACTCCATGCAATCTTACAAGCAGATGGGCTGAATACAGACACGGACACTTTAAATCTTCCATCCCAAAACAAAACAGGGGAAAGAGGGGGGGAAAAAGAAAGAAAGAAATATGGCACTCCAAGCCAAGAGTACATTATGCAATTGCCATGACTCATAAATGGGACTTTACAGAGGATCCCAAAACAACATTTACCTTCTCATAGCTTCCCATCATTTTTAAAGCTTTCTCCCCCCACCCCCCCGTCGTGAACACATTGATCAAAGAAGCCCACAGGGAATAGCTGTGCAATGTCTTTTGACTAGTGGCACTAGAAGCCATCTGCCTGGAAACAGTCTAAATCACTCCCTCTGAAGGACTGAAAAAGGGGGGGGAAAAGCCACAACATTGGGAAGAATCTGCAACTAGTTTGTAACTCACGCTATCATTTATGCTTCTGTGTTCTGGTTTGTATCCAGCGACTTCAAGACAGACAGATGCAAACGGCCGGCAACGTGTGATCCTGCAAACGTCGCTGAACGACCCCCCCCCCATTTCTCACCATGAACTATGCTGGCTGGGGCTGCTGGGAGCTGTAGTTCAGCAAACATCTGGACGGCCACATGTTTCTCACCCTGCCCTCTGCACAGAGCAGCTTCTATGGTCAAAATACTGACCAAATTCACTGCAGGCAATTGAAAACATTATTCAAAATACAGATAAAAGTAAAACAGAACAGATGTATGTTGTAATACATGGGAAGTTGGGGGAAATAAATAAATATGTAAACCCATTTTACCCCCTGCTGTATCATTCATTCCCTCTGTGATTCTAGGGAAGCAAAGATCATTTTATGTCTTACTGAGCTTTCAAATACTTTTTCTTGGTATGTGTGTGAAATAAAACTAACTCACACAGCACATTTCTTTTTCGACAAGATTCACTCCCCCAGCCCAATGATCCCGAGCTGCTTTTTATTTTTATTACTTAAAAGCACTCTGGGGATTTAACACAGCCCTTGATCTTGGCAGGATATATTTTATATAGAGAGGCAGGATTTTCTCCTTAAGCCATCTTTACAAGAAGATCTCATTCCCGGTCAGGTAGACTATCTCAATCATGTCTATGAAAATTTTATTTCAATGGAAGCTGATCGGATGAATGGGGAGGGGTATCTGGTTGTTTGTTTGTCTGATTGATGAACTGTGGAGCCCTTGGGGTTCTCGGAGCTTGGCTTTTTCTTGCAAACATTTCATTACCCGGCTAGGTAACATCTTCAGTGCTAAAATGGGATGGGGTTTGCTCTCTGTTTATGTGCTGTACATAAATAGAGAGCAAACCCCATCCTGTTTTAGCACTGAAGATGTTACCTAGCTGGTTCAACCCTGAGCTACACATATTCACCTCTATTGATTGATGAATATTCCACCTTTTCTCCAGAAGAGTTAAGGCAGCTATCACAGTATTCTTCTTTCCAGTTTTTCCCCACTGCAAGACCCTTGTGAAGTAGGTTGGGTGGAGAATGATGGATTGTCTAGTCATCCAGCGAACATCAATGTTAAGGATGGACTACGGACAGATTTCTTATTCTGTCTGTAATCGATCCTTAATCTGTTTGTGAGAAAAAGGAAATCAACATATATTTAAAAAAAGAAGCAACCCCCCCCCACACACACTATGAACTTTTAACCAGTTTAATAATCATATGATTCCACAGGAACTCAGACTAGAAAGAACTCAGACTTATACCATTTCTCAGTATAAGAAAACGATTCCGAAGGTTTGAATTCTCAGTATAAAAATAAGATTTCAAAGATTCTGAGTCAGCCATACCAAAGATCATTTTTAGCTGATGCAGAAGGTGCTTCATCTTATTATTTATTCTTTCCTTTCAGAGGCTGGATCCTTACCAACCCATTGAGGCAGGATACGAACAGCTTACGGTCCCATCCGAGATGAACTTTTTAGATAGAAATGCAGAACACTGTCATGAGAGACTGGCACTGTTTGGCAGAGTTGTAGAAAAGGTTTGGGAGAAAAGGAAAAAACTGTTTTGGAGGGCTTGGGGTTATTATCGGTGTTTAGCAATAAGTTAAATTGAGAATTTTTTTGCAGCCTGGCAATGTGCCAGGAGAATGAGGGTGCAAATGAAGTACTGCATAAGGTTTCCTAATAGAAGACCTCCAAGGTCACTTTCAACCCTATGATCCCATGATCCCATGATCCCATGATTCTGAAGTGCCC